ATAAAATAAAGCTACCAGTACCTATGATATAACTCAGGTGACCGCTAAGGCCCTTGGGCCTCTTGTTTTTAGAACCATTATATAAAGACCAAGGGTTCTGATAGTCAGCCAGTAGGTACCTGGTATACTACTGTGCTATAAAGTGCTCTCATAAATATGACCTTAGCCTACTTCCAAGGTCATAAAGGACATACATGTCAATATCTCAACAGCTTCTCCTGATTTATCATTAGTAAAGTGGCATTGGGTCATGATATTTCGCTAGCAGAATGCCGAATTTACCAGTAAGTGAGATCAACTTTGTTCAGTTTTTCTGTGGATTCCTCAGATATAAAAAGAGTGATATTATATACGATCCACTTTGTAGGTTACAGATTGTTTACAAACAGCGCTGAAAAGTAGTTGATCAGTAGTTGAGTTGTATAGGCCTATTTGGTCTCTAAATTATAATCCTGTGAATGTTACACAATCTGTAGTCTAGACATTTTACTTATAATCCTGTGAATGTCTCACAATCTGTAGTCTAGACATTTTACGCACAATCCTGTGAATGTCTCACAATCTGTAGTCTAGACATTTTACGCATAATCCTGTAAATGGCACACAATCTGTAGTCTAGACATTTTACGCATAATCCTGTAAATGGCACACAATCTGTAGTCTAGACATTTTACGCACAATCCTGTGAATGTCTAACAATCTGCAGTCTATAGACATTTTACGCATAATCCTGTGAATATCACACAATCTGTAGTCTAGACATTTTACGCACAATCCTGTGAATGTCTAACAATCTGCAGTCTATAGACATTTTACGCATAATCCTGTGAATATCACACAATCTGTAGTCTAGACATTTTACGCATAATCCTGTAAATGGCACACAATCTGTAGTCTAGACATTTTACGCATAATCCTGTAAATGTCACACAATCTGTAGTCTAGACATTTTACGCATAATCCTGTAAATGGCACACAATCTGTAGTCTAGACATTTTACGCATAATCCTGTAAATGTCACACAATCTGTAGTCTAGACATTTTACGCACAATCCTGTGAATGTCTCACAATCTGTAGTCTAGACATTTTACTTATAATCCTGTGAATGTCTAACAATCTGCAGTCTATAGACATTTTACACATAATCCTGTGAATGTCACACAATCTGCAGTCTAGACATTTTACTTATAATCCTGCGAATGTCTCACAATCTGTAGTCTAGACATTTTACGCATAATCCTGTAAATGGCACACAATCTGTAGTCTAGACATTTTACGCATAATCCTGTAAATGTCACACAATCTGCAGTCTAGACATTTTACTTATAATCCTGTGAATGTCCCACAATCTGTAGTCTAGGCATTTTACTTATAATCCTGTGAATGTCTCACAATCTGTAGTTGATTAGTAATCATGATAAGTTTCATTTGTCTCTGATTCCCATGTCATTGTCATGGTAACTAGATACACAAGTTGTTTGGTTACAGGTGTCACACACTGCTGTTCTGTAGTAGTTTGACTTCCCTATTCATTTCCCCAAACACTGCCCACAGGACATCCTTCCTGTCTATACCTATATTCCTTGTACAGACTGTGTCAGCGTGTATGATCCTGAGGAACTCACCACCTCCACTGATGAGTAGGACCCTGCAGTTGTAAAAGTCCCCTATGATCAGGTTCCCCACACTGTCATACACCACACTACTGGGGTAAAACGGTTTACCTCCTGTTTGTGGTGTTGGTCTATATGTACTGGGGATGTCACCTCTATATACAAACAGCTCCTTTAAATCAGTGTCCATCACAACAACATGTCCCTCGCCATCACCACCATCAATTTCACGACCAAAATGATCAGTGACTGCCACATTGTGAGTGACAGGACACTCTGAGATGCTGTATGGTCTACACACTAATGGTTTCCCAGTCCCTTTAGCCATAGTAGTACACACCATTTTACCATCTGTGGTAAATTTGGAGATGTATTTGGTCATCCCTACAATGACATGGTTACTGGCTGTAATACATATACACCTAGGTAACTCCTTGGTACTGAATCTGTGTGTCAGTCGTCCTGATACCAGGTCCATGATGTTGTATCCTATATCACAGACCCACAGTGTGTGTGTGTTGAGTGATAGACTGATGTCATAGATAAAGATATTGTGATTAACCTCCTGTATCACATTACCCTTCCTGTC